GGACAATGGTGGCGTGCGAGAGACAAACTCCGGCCCGAATTCTGGTACGGTGCCCAACGAGGTGGAGTTCCCATAGTTGCAGACCGCAGCTGGCTTTTACGAGAAGTGACAGGGCGCAATGTAAATTTTGGACATAAAACCTCAGGAGTTCTTCATTTTTATGTTGAGGACATTGCTGGCCACCGGTATAAGAATCAGTACCGTCAAAGAATACACGACTTGTCGTTGGTACGCCAATGGCCATTGTGGGTAGTATCTATCATATATTATCAGACTTGTGCTCGACTCAGTTTTTTCGAGTCGGCTCATATATTTTGGGATCTCATTCAACCCACGACCCATAGCCGCTCCGAATTTTTCGAATGGACTCAGTTCAGACTCATTGTTTTGATTGAGTTATTTGACTCATGCTTCACAACAGCTTTCAAAGCAAGGATTGCGTTCAATTCTGGCCCGTTCGTACACACACACACACACACACGCACACGCACACGCACACGCACACGCACACACACACGCGCACACACACACGCGCACACACACACGCGCACACACACACGCGCACACACACACACACACACACACACACATACACACACACACACACACACACACCTATATATATATATATATATATGTATATATATATATATATATATATATATATATATATATATATATATAATGCATGTATATGCATATATATCCTTTTTTCTCTCTCTTTCTCTTTTTTTCTCTCTCTCTTTCAGAGCCCGCTGAGATTTGGTAAAGCTTAGTCAGGAATCAACAATATTGTGTTTCCTACTTTGAAAATTAATATACATGGAACATAAATACGAGTGCCCCAGTAGCAAGCACGTAGTTTGAGCCTACCAAATGCAGCGCAGCAGGCAATACCCTTCCTGTGAGGTGTCAAACAACGAGCTCCCTCAAGTCTGTCATAAGGCTAGCATATTCTACCGGGCTCCTATGACCCAGACCCATTAGTTATATAGCATGCAGTGTGGACCAGACTGCACTTAATCTCACATTTGGCAGTCTGCACCTGCCGAATGCCCGCCAAGTGCGTTCACAAGTAGGTAGTCTCATTTCCGTAAGCCAGTGCTAGTGACGCTGTCGGCGATGGTGTCAGGTATGTATACAGTTTAACAGCGGATGGCAGTTCTTACTACAGCGATAAGCTAGCGTAATTTATACACGTAATATAGCCTTATCTCCATACCTGAACTTAATAAGTGTTACCAATTACATTTGCATTCATCACAAACCTTGCCAACAATCCCAGCAAAAATCAACTTCACTCGACCCACGTCGTCTAGTCAGTAAGGAAAAAAACTGAAATAAACTCTGAAAAATTGAACAAGAGGTAGGCCGGCCTTGGCGCCAACTGTCTTTTCCACCAAGCTGCCTTAACCCTGCCAGCCTCAGCGGGCTCGGGCGCAGGTCAGCTGTCCGGGTCATCTGACCGTGTCATCGGACCCAGCTCCGGGGGAGAGGGGCATATCGTGGCACCTCCCCACCAAAACATTCGCTACAACGTCAGGCGAGCGTCTCCAAGCAACGTTAACCGCGCGCTACAGAGAAACTGAAGCACACTTACGACACGCACGCTGCATCTGCACGCCATTACTACTATGTGCTCGCGTTTCACCGGACTTACTACCGTTGCGGCCCGCGGCGCCGACGACCGCTGCGGCGTTCGTCGGCGACGTAACGGCGACGTTCGACCCCGGGCGCCAAGGTTTGTCGTCGGGCTGGCGGCCTCTGAGCAGCGCCGGGAGCGATCGGAGGCCGGGCTACACGCCGCTGGCCGGAGTCCGGCGGTGCGGTCTCAGGAACCGCCTGTCCCTCCGGTCAAAGCGACCGCTTGGCATCTTACGTGAGTTGTTTTGTGCATTTGCGAGGAACATTATACACATAGATAGGGCAGTTACTATAGCCTTATTCCTCGTAAAATAACCAGGAGAATGGGGTGATAGCTGCATTACTATATCGGTCACGTGTCTTTATCGAAACGAATATTAGTAGCAAGTTCAAATTCAAAATCCCATCCTGCCCGATTTTTGGAGTTTTTCTTTGGAAACAGCGGGTCACAATTTTTACCGGCCACTAATATTCAGCAGATGAAACAAGGACAGTTTGCAGCCATTACTTCGATATCGTGCATATTCAACTAGAGATTAAGCACGCGAAAAATATGTGTACATGCAGTCAACTTCCCATAAACATGTATTACGCATCACGCATCATTCATACATGTAAGGAAGAGACTTCAAGTAAACAGGCATCACGCATCACGTATACATGCAAACGATTTCAAACAGGCAGCGCGCATCACGCGTCAGGCATCACCCATACATGTTAACGATTTATGCAAACACACATCACACATCAAGGCACTGATCGCATTCGCATGGTCGGCCATGATGAGCCCTGTACGTTAAAGTTTGGTCGCTGACTTATTGTTATGTGTATATGTATAGATATGATGCATGTATAGATATGAACATATATATATATATATATATATATATATATATATATATGCATATATATATATAGATATAGATATGAATATATGTGTATATATATATATATATATATATACAAGCTTTATATATTAAAAATAGATTCACCTTTTCTCCTCCCTGGATGATCTTGTGTTTTGTAGATGACTTTGAGCTCTTTAAGAGGCATAACGTCCTCTCTCGATGTCAACCTGGGCGTGTCTTTCCAAAAAATGATCGCCGATAGGGGTGTAGAGGTGTAAGGGTGACAGGGGTGTTCTCTGTTTTGTTTAAGCGTCTCGAAGATGTTTATTATATCGCAAAGGAACAGGGCGAATGGATTCCCAGACATAGACTATGTCCCTCCCATATCTTTGTCATGCATTTTGCACTTAATGTCATAAACCACGTTTTTTTTTGCGTGCAAACCTCTTGAAACCCAGACTTGCATAAATAACACCTTTTCCCCGCAATCGCTTGGTGTCTTCGAGATACCAGGTTTCACCAAATGTTTGTTATCTTATTGTCTTTCGTCCAAGCTCTGTGTAAGCGCAGTTTTGACCTTGTTAACGCTCTGTTTTGAGTTCTCAAACCAAGGGCTCCTCTTCGTAAAGCAGTGTTGAGAATCCGTCGTCCGACAGGGCGTGTTCCGTTTCCCTACCACCCATCCGCTACGTGCTCCAGATTTGTTCTACCTCTTCCAACATTTTACCTTAAGTCGTGGGAAATATCCATTGTCCAGCAACGGTCAATATTTGGTTTATGCCTTATTTTCCTTTTTGACTGCTTGATGAGTTGTTTAGAACGATATGGAAGGTGCTGCGAATTATATTTTGCTTAGTGGAAGTGGCATGTGCAGATTCGCGGTGTAGAATGATACCAGAGTCGATGGGCTTGATAAAGAGCTGCGTGTCTAACGTTGTGCGGTTGTTCATCCTTTCTACCGTCACTAGTATATCCAAATGTGGGACCCCTTTCCATCCCCTGCATGCTCCATCATGAAGGCTTAATTGGGATGCTGATTGTTTGAGTGTGTCATTGGGGATTTACGACGCACATAGCTGCTGAGACTAAATGGCGTCGCCCGTCTCTCACCCTGGCAGGAAGGCGGGCAACGCGGGAATAGAACCCCGTACCTCCGGTTTCTCAGACGCGCAAGGATGCTGATTATTCATGAACCCCAAAAATACTTCAAATGCATGCTGCCCGTGCGCAAAGACTCCAGGATAATAATCGACGCCTCCTGGCATCAAGTACAGCACTAGGATGGTCGATTTTATGGGTTGGCGGTCAGGGCCTATGTTTCAAATTGGTCTAAAAATATTGTCACCGGAGGGAGAGCGTATGGGTTCTCCATTGCCATACCCAATTTCTGTCGATAGTAGCCATCTCCGGACGAGAAAACATTATCCTGGAGACATCGTTGTGATAGACCGCAGATATCCCTTTGGATAGACGGAAAGCATCAATTTCACGGAAATGTTCGTCTGCCTTAGCTTTCACGGCAGCAGCGATAACCGCACTGACCGGTACATCAAATGTAAACATCTACCCTGAAGAAAATACTGCCCTTTGGTAACCCTTCTCCTTGTATGCGATTGAAAACATTTAACAAGTCTGTAATCCCCCACAGATGAGTTAGAACAATCTTCAAGACTTGGTTGAGTATGCTCTCCAGAACATACGAATTTTCTATGTAAGACGACCGCACGAAGATATGGTGGGTCTAAGGGGCACTGCAGGTTTGTGATCCTTAGAAAGCCCATAGCATGCAGGCGCGTTATGCTGTGTCTAGGTGTTAGATTGTTGATGATTTTGTCAGAAAGTTTACGCTAACTGTGCACTTAAGTGCTGTTTTTGTCTTAGCCTCTACCTGAGGGACTGGGTTCCTATTCAACTTTTCATAGATGTCGCTGTCGTTAGGTATAGCCTGAGCCCGGTAAACATAGGTTAGCTTGTCTGAGATTACAAAGCCCTTACATTTATCGCCCTGCTTAACTGTAATATCCTCATTTTTGCTAAGGTCTCTGATAAAGTTCCGTTCATCTGGAGTGACATTTAGTTTGCCTACTTGATGGGTTTTGAACGTACGCAGAATGTCATCTTTCAACTGCTGTAGGCTGGCCGACCTTCTGGCTGACAGTTTCTGTAGGCTGACCGACTTTCTGGCTGACAATTTCTGTAGGCTGACCGACTTTCTGGCTGACAGTTTCTGTAGGCTGACTTTGTCTGCCGCGGGTCGCGAGACCGCGGCTGGAGATGTGCCGCCGGTCGCGAGACCGCGGCTGGAGATGTGCGGCCGGTCGCAAGACCGCGGCTGGAGATGTGCCGCCGGTCGCGAGACCGCGGCTGGAGATGTGCCGCCGGTCGCGAGACCGCGGCTGGAGATGTGCCGCCGGTCGCGAGACCGCGGCTGGAGATGTGCCGCCGGTCGCGAGACCGCGGCTGGAGATGTGCCGCCGGTCGCGAGACCGCGGCTGGAGATGTGCCGCCGGTCGTGAGGCCGGCCTATGCGTGTTTCGCGAGGATCGGAGGGACCGATCAGTGGGCCATCGAGCAGTGCCCCGGGTATGCCACATGATGATGACATGCTTTAAGGTGTGCCAACTGCAAGGTCATACAGTGATTATTATTCCACGCTCCGTGCAGTCCTAGCTGTCCTCCTACAGGGGTTTACGATATGTGCTGTGAGACGTTTAAAATGCAAGATGCGTGGTGACAATATCTGTGAAGTTTCAAGCGATGGGTCTTAGAGACGCCAGTTCCTTCGAATTAGACAGTCTGCTTCAAACCATACAAAATATGCTAAATTGCATAGAGCATAAGTGTGTTTGCATTAGCGCCTTCTGAAACATCTCAGAACTGTTTATTTCATTTCAAACAAAACGCTTTTAGGGAACGATCATTTTTCACGGAGCTTTTGGCCTGTCTTGTTTTTGCAGCTAGCACTTTCAGGTATCTTCCATTGACAGGTGGCCTCGTTTTCTGAAAATAAATCGCGTGGCGTTGATTAGAGGCGAACGGACCCTCATTGACAGATGAGGATTGACAATAACGAAAGAATGACACACAATTTCCGAATTGTATTTCAACGAGATATTCACGGCTGAAGCAATCGCATGCAATCGGGCGCGCAATCGCATGCTTCCAATGGAGTTTCTTTTCTTCTTCATCAGTTGCTATGTACGAGTTCGTGACTTCTGTTTATGTTAGCTGTTACCAGAAATACACGTGTTTGTACGCGCACCGTGTTTGCACGCACATTATGCTGCGTGCAAACACGATGCGTAATGACGCCTAAAAGTGTTTTTAGGCTGCTCAGCTGTCGGCTGCTGGCTGCGCAGCCAGAGAAATAGACACGATAGTTTTGTGAATTTAGCCTCAGAACCCGGGCATGGCCGCGTTCCTACCGACTGACGTGACAAACTAACGAGAGCAGATGGCATGCGATATCTGTACAAACTAGCGAGGACGTGTGCGGTTAGCTATCGGTTATTTCACATTATGTTTGGAAGCAAATTAGGAAGTGAACTTCAGCATATGGCTGTCAAGTACGATGAATTCCCAAATTTGGCGAGATATAGCATTCCATGAGAGATCGACAAGGGCGCATACGTCACGTCTTCAAGTTGCTGAGAGCCATGCAATCTCTCAGTCTTCTCGTAAACGCTCCACCGCCGTAGAAACATGAACATGAGCTTGTAAGATAAACGCTCCCCGGAAAAGTCCCTTCTAGGTGCATCCCATTGCGGTTTGGTTACAAGACAATGAAGTCCGCATAATTGAAAACCGATTTTAAATTCCTGCGGCCATTGATGCGCTCCTGCGGCCATTGATACGCTCCTGCGGCCATTGATGCGCTCCTGCGGCCATTGATGCGCTCCTGCGGCCATTGATGCGCTCCTGCGGCCGTTGATGCGCTCCTGCGGCCATTGATGCGCTCCTGCGGCCATTGATGCGCTCCTGCGGCCATTGATACGCGGCCGGAGTAGGAAACAGTATTTCATTTCGGCGCATCAACGCAGGACATGGATGGTTTGGAACCTGGGAGTGACTCAGCGACGTGGAGTGGCAACTCGGCTACCTTTTCAGCGTTCTGAAACAGGTGCTGAATCTGTTCAAGGGAGAGACCCTTTGTTTCCTTGAGACAAAATGTGGCAAACAACACCTGGCACAGGCTCACCAGTGAGTGGATGACGAAGCCTCCGCCCAGACCAACCCCATCTTTGATTAGTGGGTACATTTTTAGCAGCATAAATTCACTCAAATTCAGCATAACGAGGACGATGTTTGCGCCTAAGGTGCGCGTCTTGTTGGGCAGCAGCTCAGTGACGTAGTTGAACGCGACGTTGGCGATCATGCCAACAAAGGCCACCTGCGTCAGACATGCGCCCGCCAGCACAATCCAGCCGAGGCGCTCCTGAGACTCCACGGCGAGGAAGAAGTACGCGGCGATCGTGGCGCAGCCGATGGCAGAGAGCGCGCCGCCCAGACGCAGCACCGGTAGCCGGCCGTATCTCTCGATAGTGATGCCGCCGGGGACGCAGACGAACGTCGAGAGCGCGGCCGGCAGCATGGCACGCTGGTACTCGCTTAGCGGTAGCCGCACCGGCGCCAGCACGAAGGTGGTGATGAGCAGTAGCGTGGAGCCGCCGCACCAAGCAAACAACACCATCTGGACGGATGCCAGTAGCAGCGGGCGCCACGTGCCTGGCTGACACAGCAGCGTCCACACGGGCAGCGCGGCGCCGTCCACATGCGCGTGCTGCAGCGAGTCGTGGATACTTCGTATCTCGGGGGCAACGTCTTCCTGCACACCACGGAAAAACTGGATAGAGCGCACGGCTTCCTCCTCCGAATGGCCGCGCGAGAGCAGCCACTTGGCCGAGTTTGGAAGGAAGAGGAGACCGAAGAGACAAAGTGCGGCCGGCACCACACCTACCACGATGAACAGCACCTGCCAGTGCAGCAGCGGCGCCACGGTCAGCGCCAGCACCTGGCCCAGGTACACCATGAAGTTCAACAGGGTTGTGAAGAGGGCACGGCGCGTGGGCGGCACAATCTCGGACACATAACTACGCACGCCGCCCTCGGATATGCCGAGCGCCGCGAACATGACCAACCGACCGCTCAGCGTCCAGCCGAAGTGGCCGCCGAGGCCGACCGCCAGCGAGCCGAGCGCGTACAGCGGCATGGCGAGCAGCAGCAGGCGCCGCACGCCCAACACGGGCGCCACCGGTGCACCCAACAGCCCGCCCAGCACGGCGCCCAGCGCTGTGGCGGCGATCGACCAGTTGAGCTGATCGGCGCTGAGGAAGCCGTCGGGCTCGTCCGGCACCTGGATGAGGGTGACGCTGTGCATGCCGAAGTTCAAGCCCACGGCCAGCAGCGGCTGACCGATGACCACCAAGGCCAATACCTGCAAGCAAGAAAGCATGTTATGATGATAGCGCGTCTTTTCAATGGCGGTCTGTTGGTAACTGTAAGAATGGCAGTCTGATTCTTTGTAAATTTTCGTTTGCTTGAGCGTCCCTGTACTATCCTAAACGTGGTTTCGGTCATTCACAGGGTATTATTTACTTCCTGTTAAAGTATCAAATTTTCCTGCCTACCCATCACCCACTTACCGGTGACGATGAGTGCCCACCCCTGTCCAGCGCGGCACACAGAACCTTACGTTTATACCGGCATTAGTCAAGTAACCGAAACAATGAAGTCCGCGGCACTCCCAGCCAAGAAATGTGTTACCTACCAAACACAACAAGAAATCAAGTGTAGCCAATGGGCCAGGTAACGCATCATTCGTGCTGTCATGGTAATATTTGTTAAGAAGTGGTAACTGGAAGTACCCAGTTTCAAGAATTACAACTGGCGGGCCGCTTATATCACTACCCCAATTAGTACGATATAGTGCTGAGAATCTCGAGATTTTTTGCAATTTCGTGATCCCGGGATTTTGAGAGGTTCAATCACGGGATAGCCCGACATTCCCGTACTGAGTGGATATTTGCAAATGTGCCGATAATTCATGGCTTTCCTTAAATGCCGTGCGTGGCGCATGTTTACGTTGGCCATAAATCACTTTCAAGCGGAGCAAAGCCTCACAAAGCGGAAAGTTCAAAGAAAAACTTCTTTAGGGCCATCCGTGTTCTTCGGACTAAGCAATGTAAGGTACATGAATTATATTTATCATGTATTTCTTGGTTATATCGCAAGTCAGGATACAGCAGTCCTTACTAATGCAGCCCGGCCAACAGGATGGCGTAGCCATCGACACATGTAACCGAAGTCTTACCGAAGTCTTCTGCTAAGGTAGAAGCAATTCAAGACGCAAAGGACATCACTCGTTCACATCATCACTCGCTCACACAGTGCACATCACTCGCTCACGTCATCACTCACTCACACGGGGCACATCACTCGTTCACATCATCGATCTCTCGCACAGGGCACATCATTCGCTCCAACTCAATAACCGTAGGGAACAATCGTAACTCCTTTGAGCCAGCTGTGGGACTGTGCTACCATCCTGTCCTTACTGATGCAGGTGAGTTCTCTATCTCTTTCCTTATGACTTTGGCCATAAAAAGAGCGTCAGATGAGCTGACCCCGGACGCACATGATCTTTGACCTGACTCCCGAACCCCATGAATGTCTGCGAAGCTGTATGGTGTCTCCCTGGATGGAGATGGTCCACCACACCAATACCACAATGCTTACTCTTGAGATAGACAGCAAGTCCTTTGCGGGACCTCTGGGTATGTTAAGTATTTTTTCAAGACGTGACACTATACTGCGTCGTTATCCTGACATGATAGAAAGTGTTCCCACACTGCGCTTCCTTTGAATCCCACACAATGAGGCAGGTTTTAGCGGCGTTGGCTTTTCAAAAATGCACACATTTCACTAAGAACGCCCCTGGACATCCGGTCCTCCTCATGGGCCACTCAGCTGAGAGACAGACAGCCCCCCACGGGTGGGCTGTCGCTGGGTAGTGCCGGAAGCAGCCAGCGGCCACGGCTCCACGCCGAGCATCCGACGGTGCGGTCTCAGGAATCACCTCTTCCTCCAGCAAATGCGCCCACTTAATGTCTTACGTAGGCTGTTTATCGCATTTGTGAGGCACATTATGCATGTGGATAAGACAGAACTTGTAGCCTCAGTTCTCGTAGAATTCCCAGGACAAGAGGGGGATAAATGCATTGCTATTTCGGCTGCACCCATTTATGGAATCGGATTCCAGTGGCAAATTTAAAATTGCCTGCAGATCCTACTCGATATTTTTGAGTTTTTCTTGGGAACAGCAAACCACAATTTTTACAGGTCACTTACATTCAGCAGATTAAGCAAGGACTATTTTCAGCTATAACTAGGATGCATCGGACATCCAACTAGAAATTAAAATACGCCAAAAATACCTGTGCATGCAATCAATTTCAAATAAACAGGCATCACCCATCACGAATCGGTCATACATGCAAGCGACTTCAAGTGAACAGGCATCACGTATCATGCAAAGCTCACATAAGCAAACGATTTCAGTTAAACTGGCATCGTGCATCACGCATCAGGTGTCACTCACACATGCAAACGATTTAAAGATGGCATGAGTTACACATCGAGGCACATACGACATTCGCATGGTCGGCCATGATGAGCCCTGCACGTTAAAGTTTGGTCGCTGACTTCTTATGAAAATATTCACATATCTTCTTGTCTGGATGATTTCGTGCATTGTAGGTCACTACCTTTTAGAGCCGGTGTCACGCTCACAAGCGATTACTACCAGATACATTAGTACTACTTTTATCACTACCAGACATTTCATTACTACTAGATATTCATGTTCTATTCTCGCCAGCTGGAGCTCGGCTCGACTCGGCTATTACGACAAAACAGCGATGCACACGCGCGGGCGTCTCAATTAACGATGCCCACCTCGAGGGTCTGGCACGAGTCAGCTGGCGACCCGTCCGCCGACCTGATGGGTCACCTGACCTGGCGCCGGGAGGCTCATATCAAAACGTCAGGGGCCCCTTATTGTTGCACGGGCGTTGACCGATGCAAAGCGCAGGCACCGGCCTCGTCTCCGCGTGGGAAATGGATTCCACGGCTCAGGCCGTCACGGAACCGGCCGTTTGGTGTTGGTGGTCTCTATCCGAAATAGGTGCCCGTTTTGTCCTAGGACCCCCAGCCGGTGTAAGAGGCAATCTGACTGACATTTGAGATCGCAGCCCCGTGGGCGGAGGTCCTAAGCGGGACCTAGCTCTCCGGACCTTTCAACCTTCCAGTCGAGCCTTTGATTTTTGGTCCCTTGGAGTCTTTGAGGTACCAGAGGCCTTTGTTGTGCTGGTGGTGCCTGAGCGACATAGATCCCCTGACCGATTCATTTGACCCCCAGCCGGCGCAAAGGATCGTTTGACATTACAGGGCCCGTCCCTGTGAGCCGGGCCTCTCAATGAAACTTACCTTCGGCCCTTGTGCCGCCGCAGTGCCGGTACCAGTGCCGCGACGCTATACGTGAGCGTAAAAAAGCCCTGCGAAACTTCGATCGACACAGTATTGCGGAAAAATTAATCGCTTTTCGACGAGCTCGGGCGGCAGCCCGACGTACTATCTTGGAGGCCAAGCGCACGTCGTGGCGTTTATATGTGGGCCAGCTTAATTGCCAAACGCCGACTTCGATGGTTTGGGCGCGGGTGAAGCGTTTAGCAGGCCAACACTCCTCAATGCCGCGTCCCGTGCTTCATATGAATGGCCGGGACATACTGGACCCCTCTAAGGTGGCGAACGAAACGGCTCGTGCGTTCGCGGAGCGTTGTGGGCGTACAACTGCCGCTCCTGATTTCATACGCCATCGTGCTCGTCACTGATGCTCCAAGCTGGACTTTGCGTGTTTTGTATATGATGGCGCCTCTGAGTCCGTAAAACGTACATTGAATGCGGTCCATCATGCTGCGTTGAGAATCATTACTGGTGCATTTCGTATGTCTCCGACAGCCAGCTTGCTTATGGAAGCCAACGAACCTTCGCTGGCTACCCGAAGACAGTTGTTGGGGATGCGGTACGCTTGTAAGCTTGCGCAATTCCCGAACCACCCAACACATGACGCTGTGTTCTCACGCCACATATCCAATGTTTTTCAGTCCGAACAAGCAACACGTGTGGCGCCGTTTTGTGTGCGTGTGCGTAATGTTCTTCTTGAGAGTGGCTTAAGTTTTCGGGGTGTGGCACGCCCACGTAGCCTGCCGACCGCTCCGTGGGTAATAGTATCGCCAACTGTCGACGTCTCATTGTCGGATGTTCAGAAGCAAAATATGGTTCCGTACGATGCCAGATCAACAGCTTTGAAGCATATCGAAGCATATCGGGAGTTTACAATTACGTATACAGACGGCTCGAAAACGGATACGGGTGTTGGTTCCGCTTTTGTGTGTGGTCCCGATACGCGATCATTTACACTGCCAGCCCATGCGTCCGTGTATACTGCAGAGCTTGTGGCCATCATTAAGGCGCTTTGCTTTATAGAGGTAGGTGAAGACAGTATGCACGTGATTTTATCGGATTCCCTAAGTGCCTTTTCGGCACTAAGGCGTTTTAATCCGGTAAATCCCCTTATACAGGATATTTTACTGCGTCTCGACTCTCTGTACCGGGCTGGCAAGACCATAGTACTTTGCTGGATTCCGAGCCACGTTGGCATTGCGGGAAATGAGCTGGCTGACTCTGCTGCAAAGCGTGCTACTCGTCGTCCCTGTCGCGGAGCGTTTCCGATACACGCTACAGGCCTGCATTCGGCCATCTCTGCCTTTTTGCGCGGGGAATGGCAGAGCACATGGGATGCGATGGGCCCCACTAGACGGAAAAAAAACATCAAGCCGATTGTTCAGGAATGGCAGTCATCCTATCGAAAGTCTAGACGGGAGAAATAATCCTGTGTCGTTTGCGGATTGTCCATACTTATGCCACACTTCGATACCTACTATGTCACGACGAACTACCACGATGTCGCCACTGCAACACCACGCTCACAGTGGAACATGTGCTCATATGCTGTCCCATACCACACGTCGAGCGTCTGGGGTTCTTTGGCCCGGCGGCGCCGTCCCTGACGCTTTCCGACTGACTAGGCGACAGCTCACCACATATCGAACATACCCTCAGGTTCGTATCGCATGTTCAGTTCTGCACTTTATATACACCTGCTTGAATAGTTTATACCGCGCGTAGGGGAGTTTTTGGGTTGCAGAAAGCTTCGTATCAATGACGCGTTCCTGACACAACTCGGCCATTTTCAGTTCCGAATAATGTATATTTTTTAGTCATTTATCGCCGTAGATAGCCATTTAGTTGTTATGGGCGCAAAATGACCACAGTAGTCGACGCGTCCTGAAACTCCAATCAACAACAACAGGTTATTAACGAACTTCGTTAATCGCTAGCAGCTGATTCTGGCGACCGGTCAGAATGCTTCCAGCTGACTTAGCTCGGTGCTCCAGCCAGTACAGAATGAATATAAAACTGGTTAAAGCAACGCGATTAAATATGCTCAAATGCGACACATAGTGACTCTCATTCATGCATAACTCCTTTACAATGTGCTGCGACAATATTTATGATGACAACTGAACAAACTTGGATGCTGATTGATGCGGATTGTTATAAGAAAGCCCTCGCCAGGTCGAGCCGGACCGGACTGGATCTGGAATTTAAAAAAAAAACTTGACTGGTAGGCAGATTGGATTTTGGGCAGCCGGACCTGATTCCATCGAATTCTAATGCTGTCAAAATGTGACGTTATAGGAATCACATACATGCGTCCTAAGGAATCACATGCATGAGTCTTGTGGAATTACATGCATGCGTCCTGAGGAATCACATTCATGCGTTATAGGGAATCACATGCATGCGTATCGAGAAATTACATGCATGCGTCCTGAGGGATCACATAATAAACGGAGCCACCCCGTGTGCTAATCACGCCTCCAGCCATCCAACTGTTACCTGTTTAAGGGCTCCGCCCATGGCGAAGCTGAACTGACGAACGGCCCCGTTGCAACACGTCATATGCAACGTCATATGCAACACGTCATAGGCCTCTGTCGACGAACTGCCAGCTTCAGATACCCGCTGGTCCGCAGTCACGCGCTGACCCACAGTGATGTTGGCCCATCGACCCTCACTAGTCCACAGGCCTCCCAGGCCCTGCCATGACATCCACTAGCTCGCAGGCGCGTTGGGAGCAGGCGCCCGACCGCCCGCAGACAAGGGCCCCGAGAAGGCTACTGCGACGGTGCCAGACACCGGCTGTTGGCTGGGGAGTGTTGAGCACAAGGCCTTAGGGCAACTGGACGTGAACCAGCAATTCTCGAGGTTCCTTTCAGTAACAGGCACATGACTGGCACAATCTAGCGTCCTATTCGGACATGTCACTTAAACCTCGCGGAAAATGCGGCATGTTCGGAATATATTTTTCAAACGCAGGCGTCTCCTTGACAAATGCTATTGTCGCCCGCGCGACAGACGCGCATAATTTTAACGTTCGGAGCGGGCCGAGGCCGTATAAGTGAGGTAAAACCGTTCCGGGTTTCTCGCTCCATCTTCGCTTCTCTTAACATGTGACGTAGTGCGACGTTACTGGTGCTGGGACTTCAATGCGCAGTGGGCCGCTAGGCGCCGGACGTGGTGCTGAGGGGCAGCCGGAATATCGAAATATTCGCACAACTTATAACAAATCTGCTAGCGGGAGGTGCATATGACCAGCAAGCCGCCTACGTACAACTGTATGACGAGCGTAATGTAATGAACATAATGAACATAACTCTGCAAGCCTATGCGATGGATCGCCAAAATGCAATGGCCTAAAAAGCAAAGACGTTCACACGGGACTTATTCGCCAGAGCACGGCAGGACGGCAGGCAGGCTGTCGTCGTATTAAACTAACACACTGCTTAGTGACAGCTATATTTGATCAATGAGCCGATCACGTAAAATTTAGCGACGAGCGTAATAACGTACGTGGTAACCGTAATGAAATGTTCACATTTCAAGATACCAAAGCCAGCATTAGATGTGATGAAATAAGCTCACTTATAATTATTTGTACGCTTTCAAGTGGAAAAGACCGCTGTAGATTGCACACGTTCTTTTTTAAGTAAATGTGCTCCTCAATACGTAATTTTTGATGACGTCATCGCACCTTGCACATCAGTGATGTGCAAGGTACAAAGGGAATGACAATGCAATGTTGGCTGTATAAGACAATATTTCACCCCATTCGTATGTTTCTAACTTAGCAAGTTTATTTGGGGTGCTCATCGCCTGCACCATCCGCCTGCTTGGGGCCGCCGACTGGCATGCCAGTAGTATAGTGAACTAAGAACCTAACAGTGTAATTTACCACCCTAGACAAACATCAACGCTTTTAGTAAGGGTCAGCATATTTGCATATGGATGATGGATGGGCTGTACATAACAGCCAACCTTGTCCACAAGGCATCGCTGTGAACCATATTGGTGCGGCGAACGATGCGAAGGTGCGGTGAGCGTTCAACACAGTCGACCAATTCACACCGCTGTTGGGGCTGATATAATCCTAGAGCCTGGGTGAGCTAAAGGCGTAGACTGGATGAGGAAGTGTTTGTATGCTCGTTTCGTATGTCACCAATTTCTGAGCTTGATAACCGTGTTTTGATACTGAATTTCAACAAAATTGCACGGCAATAGTTATTTTTATGTCAAATTTCCTTGCCTGTTAAGCGCATACTAAACTCCCTGAAATAAAAGTGTTTCAAAATCTTTCACCGCATCAATTAATCGTGCGTGAAAATTAATTAATTAATTAATTAATCGATTAATGAATCGTGCATTAATCGTGCGTGAAAAAGGAAAATACCCGAACATGCGTTACGCCGTGCATGCTAAGTAAATATATAATTCTTGGCAATTAACACCTTGCCAAAGCATAGGCGTAGGTAAGTTTCAAAAAGTGGGGTGGCCAAGCTCACGGTGTACTTCGGGAACTTTTTTCTGGAAAGCGAGCCCGATGACCGGGGGAGGGGGAGGGGGTAAGGATGGAGATTGTTATCGCTCTTTATTCAAATGCGATGGCTGCTATGCAAGCTATGCATCTAGAGCTGTTCATTACTGGTGCACAATCTTGCCTTTTCGTCTCATCTATCATAGGGCTAGCCAGCTTCCATAGATTACACGTCCATTTTAACACTGTCTTCCTGGGGAGACGAAATTCCACGAGCGGGTAGGTATTTTGGGTCATTAAGGAAGCATTTTCCCAACAGTATAGATGCCAAAATAAGGCATGGATGTAGGCTGGTGAGAATTTTGAACGTGGATCGATGGCTCACAGCGCGACATATTTTTCATGCTCCTTCATTTCGCTGACTGCTTTTCAAGAGATAAGACTTGTCGCAGCATTTTAGGCGGAAACAAATTCGGAAGCTTGAAGCTGCTAAAAACAAGGTGACAAAATCCATAAAATTGCAGATTCTCTTTTAAGAATCAAGCCACGTAATAAGGCCCATCTGTCACATGTTTCTTATCTAGGCCCTGCTCCTGTTCGCCGTCGGTGGCCACTGCCCTGACCCGGATGTCTCCCGCATGACTGACTGCGAACTGATCGTATGGCTGTTTTTTGCATACTTTTGGACCAGCATTACTACTACATGGTGTATGAAACACGTGATGGACACCAGCAACGGTATCATTTTCCGAATTATCTTCCCTCACACTACACCCTCTCAGAAAAATAGCCTCTGGAAAGCTGTCTGCCTTAGGTACGAATTGGCCCAACGGACACTTCATTGTCAGTTATGCAACGCACACGACTAGATCTGCTGTTGTGTGTAGGCAGGGGCGTTGCCAGAGCATTGCCAAGGAGGAACACAAGGTTGACAAAAGCCCATCTTATGGTGACTCCCCCCCCCAAAAAAATCCTCGGATATGGCTTACTTGTTAACAAGTGATACGATTTTCTTCGTTTTATTGTTACTTTCACGTTGTAACCAGAACAGAAACCAGGAGCTACCGCGAGCTCAATTCTGTTTGCATTTTGGCGTCAATAAACTGCAGAAATCAGGCCTTGAACGACTGCATGGAAGAAATAACCGGCGCTCTTAATTTACAATGGTTAGTTGACTCTTTCTAAACTGATAGAATTCAGAAGCTTAGTCAATTTTTTATCTGGGTTTTACAGACATGAGGACATCGCGAAGGTAGATTGTAGATCGTTATGTTTGATCCAAATTTAAAGACAAAAATTTGATTGCAAATCGAGTGGTCAACTATGTGTATCAACATGGCCAAGTCATGTTTGTCTGAAAACGTTCACCATCCCGTCAGAATCGGTTAGTGATACAATTCATGTAGCGTGTTTTTTTTAACATGCTCGCAAATCTTAGCAACAAAAACCTCGACGCCAGGCATTGCAGTCTCCATAGTCCGCGGAGCTTTCGCCCAGCAGCTGATATTTAGCTGTGGCCCACCGGTGGACGAAAATGATGACGCTTCTGGAATGATAACCTTTAAACACTTAAATCAAGTGGTAATACAAGTTATGTGGCGTAATTTTGAGCCTGCGCACTCAACAATTTTAAAAGCACAAGACTCGACCTCAGGTGTTGCAGTCTCCGCAGGCAGCGCAGCGTCGGCCTAGCAGCTAATGTTAAGTTGTAGCCAACGGGTAGACGAAAATGACGACGCTTCTGAAAAAGTATCCTTGAACGCCTCATGGCATCAGATCCTGTCCTTAGAAGGCAGTCTGAGGGCATATTTCACGCGTGCAATTGATGACTGATGAAAAGAACGAATTGGCCCCTAAAGCACCGCGAGGTGGGACTGGAATCTGGTGGTTGAACTGAAGGAGTGAAGGTAAAATATCTATTTTTCGTGTTACCGCAGCTATTTATCTGTCCAGAAGACAGATTAACACGGCGCCCGCCGTCTGGTAGCGCTTGCAGTGGCCAAAACTTGTCGGTTTTACGGAAGTCGCAACCCAGGCCATCCTTGTCCTTGCTCTCGAGGTTGCGAGTGGGCATGTTCAAGCCTTTTGATGTAATTTACTTCACTATTACATTCTGAAAAAATGAACGTTCTTAGGCAAACATGACATGAACTTGCTGTTTTTTTAAAAGATTATTTCGACCCATCCTATTCAACAATGATGAGAGCCCCACTCTACTCAACAATAAGGAAACCCCTTATTCCCTTCCGAGCAAGGGGCCTCTTGAGTAGAACACCAGGGATACATTACCGTTTCCGGTCAAGGGCTGAAGGGCCACTCCGTGCCATCGCGAAGTGTCTTCTGGCTATCATTCTGGTGGCACGGGGCGGGATCCCCTGGTCGATCCGGAGGCCATTAGGATATATTATATCGCATTGTTCCCATCCCTGACACGGGAGGCCTTCTAACCCGCGCAGTTAGCCCCGGATCAGCACAGGAATCCTCATTGACACAACAACATCCCTGATCACCGCAGGCAGTCCAATAATTGTCACATAGACTCCAGTTCCGTGTTTTTCTGTGTTCTTCAGAGATGTTAAGTTCTCTCTGACCGTAGATTGCGGATGAAATGGGGTTCCTAATTTGTATTCACATGGCTAGCCAATGTTCACCTTATAATGCTCAAGATCCTCTCAGAGCTGATTACATATAAGAAAGCTACGTAATATGGTGTTGAACATGCGTGCTCGCAAGTCATAGCAATAACAGCCTCGACGCTCGGCGTTGCAGTCTCCAGGCCGTGCGGCGTCGGCCCTGTGGTTGTAACACTAAGTGATGGCCAATGACCAAACGAGAAAGATGACGCATCTTAAGGGAGATGGCTGGTGAACTAGGTAAACCGGCATGCATGTTTAATGCAGTGCAAAAGTAAGCCAAATGCAACCTTAACCTGAAAAGTGTGGGGGGGGGGGGGGCAGTTAATATTGCTGGTCCTTTCCTTCAAAAATGGGGGGCATGGCCCCCCTGCCCCCCCCCCCCGTTCCTACGTCCTTGTGCCAAGGACATGAAATGCTCACGCCTCCTACCATTCCGCCCTGTAGGAATGGAAGCCAAGCTTAAATGGGAACGTGTACATCGATCTATAAGTCGATTTACTACCAGCGGCTTCCCTGTTTAGATCACGTCAGACCTGAGTCGTTTGATATCCGTAATCTTCATGTTCTTTTCTTCATTTACACAGCCGCACTTTTTATTTGAACTAAAAGTTTCCACACGCAAAGTGGTCACAAGGACCGAAACGCTTCGAACCAA